ATATATATATATATATGTATATATATATATATATATATATATGTATATATATATATATATATATATATGTATACATATACATGAATGTCATTTCACACAACCAGCTTCCTACATTCCACATTAAAAGAGCCTTCAGGTTGCTTTCTATCGACTGCCTATAGGCTGACCAAACACACGAAACCATTAGAAGCATATACCTTTACATAGTTTTCTATATATTTCATCTATATGTGTATTTTATATATCCAGCTGGTTTTCGTTTGAACACGGAGTACATTGGTTGTAATCGCACACCACACTAGCAGTAAGAACAGCAGAGTGTAAAGCACGTGGCTTCAGAGAAAGCCACGTTGAAAGTCCCCAAACAATGGCTGCCGTTGCCCCTATTCCTCTTCAGTATCAGTTTAAACATCATAACAAGTCTAGTAGTAGTAAGGCCAAGATGAGATTCATTAATGAGGTCAGACGTATGGAATAAGCTGTGGCTTTTTCAATCTGGGGTATACAGTGGGATACATGTTACTGTTTAACACAAGTCCTGTTCACATGGTCCAACAGGGACATCAGAACTTGTCGGGGTTGGTGTCAGTAGATACATTCACAGAGATGCAGAGGATTCGGTGTTGTGTTCAAACCATTTAGTAAATTGGAGAAAAGAGGCTCCAGAAACAAAGTCCAAATGAAGTGGCCTTTAAAACCTGTTTAACTCCATTGAATTGTTTTGCACTACATCAGGTTTAACCTTAATCGTGAATACAACGCAATCCTTGGTGACTTGTTTTATATTGCAAGGGAAACCCGTAACCAGACGTCATGTCAAGTTAATACCTGATCATATTGGGTTTTATTTACTAAGGACATGCAGTCACCATCTGTAACAGCCCCGTGAATAAACTGGAGAAAGTGTAATGACCTGCTGTTGATGGTGCTAACTACATACAAACTGCCCTGTTGATGCGCTACATTATGAAGGACCACTGTACTACAGAATATGGGATTAGTTCTGTTTAAATGATCAATGTGAGCCTTCTATTAAATAGGATTCAGAAGTTTGATTTGCATGTATATGTTATGTATAACATATAAAACAACTGTTTTTTGTATTTTGAGTCACTTGAGTCAACATCAATTGTTCAGATATTTCTTATATCCTACAAGTCCACATTGAATTTTTAATTCAACCAATCAACTCACCTACATTTTACAGGGAGCACTATGTGGCTGCAACAGCATATGGGCCACTTATTTAAATTAAAGGTAAAAAAACTACATTTTTAATCTTATTTTTAAATTATTTTAAATATCTTCAGCTAATCAATTAATCCCTAAATGTGCTGTGATTATAATACATATGCAGAGCCTGAACCACATGAACACTCTTAGCCAAAGACAATCAACCTGTAGTGGCATGAAAGACAATATTTTACAACTTTTAATAAAAGATCTTTATAATCTACTTCATGTAATGGAATTTTACCCATTAGGGACAACTGGGCTTCACACTGAGTTCTAAGGAGGCTGCATGTTTAAGGTTTATAATTGACCTTCAGTAATAAGTTATATATTTAGTTTGAACTGAAACATACTGTACATCTTCAAGAATGCACAATAAAACCACATTCACTTCAATTCACATCCACTCTTGTCCAAAGAGGACGGGCGACAAAACCCTCCTTACTTTGCCGTTTTTGAGTGGAAGCCCTGAGAGGCCCGTGGGAAGAGAATAATTATTGTGATCCACCTTAGTCTGATCTAAATGGCTTTTTGGAAATAATCTTTCTAAGTTCCTGAAACAAAGAAACAGAAAAAAAATATCACCTGCCTAGACTTTTTAATCTGCGATTTTTTTGTCTTCTTTGTCAGAAAACCTTTTAGAGGTTGTTGTATTACTCAAAACTCCTTTTCACCCGGCATATCTCAGCACTTTTACTATTAAATGTACCTTCCATTCAAAACAGTATATCAAGAATATCCACAACATTTTGAAGAGTCCATGCCAGTGTTTCACATGTTTTAGCCCATTACCTTCTGTTTACATGCACGTCGACCATTTTCTACAGTCGAACCTTGATTTTTAGATCTTATTTTTTAGAGGCAGCCACTGATTTCCACTGAAATTGTCTCAAAACCAGCTTGTAGAAACTGGATACCGTGAGAACAATAAAGCTCACTGTGATGGATGGTCCAACCCAAATTTCAAGTTTTTGCCAGCTGATTTTGCAGAAGATGGGAAGAAACTTACATTTTTGAAAAAGGCCAGCAACCATGCAAAGAATATGTATTTTTTGTTGTAGTAAATGGGATAAATCATGCAACACCAGTACAGTCATTTAGAGGACAGCCACAATGTCATTGTTTATCCAGTGTTATTATAAGCGCCATTCAAATGTAATTTCGTGTATGAATACACAATAAAAATATCAAATTACCCTAAAAGATTAAAATAAGAAAAATTGGACAAAAAGACAAAAAACCCATCTTCCTTTTGATGAAGTGTTGAACCCGTGAACAGAAAAGTGATCTAAAGACACGGTGACCTTCCATTAATCCTTCCCACTCTTTCTTATTGATAATGACTGAATTATTATGATTCGTCACATTAAACTCACAATAAAACAACTGTCACGCATTCACAAATTTGGTTACCAGATGATGCTACATGTAAAAAGGTGTGTGGAGGATGTCTTTGGTGATCACTGTACAGTAAACGTCTAGCTGGCATTTGAACTGATTTAATTAAAGTAAAAGTGTTAAAAAAATAATTTGACTGTTTCCGAATTTTGTGAAAGGCTGCATCTGGGCTTAGTGTTGTTGGTTGGTTACCGGGTACGCTATGTTTGGACAAGCTGGTTGAACACTGTGGTGTAAGTGACTGGAGCTACTGCTGGTGCTACGCACAGAAGATACGGAAACAACAGCCACCGCAACGGTTGACCGCGGTAGAGTCGGAAAGCTTTCCTGTCGGAAACGTGAAGCGCAAAAAAGGAGCTGCGGCATCAACTCTTCTACAAAGCAGCGAAACGCGTGGAATGTGACATTTGTCACCAGGATTCACACACACCCTCCTGTGGAGAGCTCTGTGTTGTGCAAAGAGCACCGACGTTCAGTATTTGGAGTGGGTTACAGTAGCAAGAAGTGAAACCGAGCTCGGTCCCATGAAATGTAGCTACAACATGAAAACTGAAACACAAAAAATAAAGATTTTCCTCACATAAATGATTTGGTGGAGGAAATCTAACAACACACAGGCAGTGACCTGCCAGTGAGATAGCAGCATGGCCCAAAGTACAGTCAGGGTTCAGGGTCGGATGTGCAGATCAAGTCCACGATCGGGGTTCAGTTCCCGCTCATTAAGGTTTCTAGTGTGTGACAAGTTCTCATTTTCCTAATTTAACAATGACCAAAATTGCCTCCAAACTGTCTTAGTGGCTGTAAAATTTTAGATACCCTAAAGAATTATTATAGTCCCACCATATTTGAATGTTTTCTTTAGGATTCTGCACTGAAATGCATCAGGTGTGAACGCCCTTTCACCATCTGTACATGTAGCCAAAGTAAGAAGAACAAAGCTTTAGTGACAGCGGATGGATAGTTTGGGTGTCTACGTTCTTGTCAATTGAAGACGCGGCTGAGCAACCGTCCTACTAACAACTCACTACAGTCCATCGGCTGGGAACAGAAGGGGGGGCGGGGGGCTCTGTGGCGTTGACAGTTTAAAGGGTGCTTGAGGTCGGGGTTTTGTCTTGTTAAATGTAAACGGGCTGCTCCTGGGCGGTCAGCAGGCGGTACATGGCTGCGGGCATCGTCTTCATGTGGATCTGAGGGAGTCGCACACAGAACAAAGCATTCAAGTCATGGAATTATTAACAGTTAATGCCTTTGAAGATCAAATGCCAACCCAGACATCCCGTTGGACACTGGTAATTGTGACTATGGCAAGGATCAATATTGAGGATTACTGAGTTTGTGATATATGATGCTGGGACCAGCTCATCCACAACAGTACCTCCGGTCACAGAGAGGACGCAGACACAGAGGTCAGTTCACATTATCTAGTACTGATGGATGGCAGCAATACAGATCAATCCTCACCATATGCATGAATAATGAATGTCCATGGAATGATTAACATAACTGTCAATGTTTGGTTTTTTCACCAACGCATTATCTGTGTAGTGACGAGGGTTCTGTAGCGCACTTATGGTTACGGATATAACCCCTGTTCTAACCTGAATAACACTAGGACCCTGGGTCTATAGGTACTATACTTCTGAAGTCACTTCAGAGCACCTTCAGCCGTAGACTGAGATCAATGAGGTGCACCACAGAACGCCACAGGAAGTCTTTTCTACCTGTGGCCATCAAACTGTATAACTCCGCCCCCTTCTGCAGGAAGGACAGTTGAAAAATCGGACACTTACAACAATAATAACCACACCGTGTGCAACAGTACTTTTTTTTCAACATCGTGCAATATTAATTTCATATAACTTTCTTCTACTTTTCCAATATCTATATCATGCTCAGTATTACTTTTCTATTTCAGTACCACTTCTTATACACTTTGTATATTTTCTCTTCATCTTTGTTGTATTTAACTTTTTCTATTTTAGTTGAATTTTTTAACTTTATTTATTTACCTTACTCTCATTGCTATTGTGTTCTATTTTTATTCTATTGTATTCTTCAATTGTATTATTTAATGATAATTTAACTCTGGCACAATAATTTGTTTTTGGAAACCCCCAAAAAAAAAACAGTTCCAAGCAGGTCGAGTCGAGTCGGGCCATGCAGTGTAAACGAGGCGAGTGTTGGACAGAACACACGAGCTGTGATGTAATGTTGCTGGACGGAAGCTCAGGGACCTTTTAAGTCTGGGCGCATTAATGTAAAGGATGTCTGGTCGTTAGATTTTAAAGGATGCAGTGTTACTTATTTCTTATTGTCACTAAATCCCATGAAAAGACAAATGAAGAAATATATTTACATGGGATGTTTAGATGCATTAAGAAAAAAAAATGAACCCTGATATTTGACATTTGATATATAGTTAGTCTTTCAATACCTTCTGACTATCCTACCCTGTCTGTCTCTCAGTTCGCTGGTTTCTACTGAAGACATGTTTAAAAACAGCTCGCAAATATATTGTTTCATTATTTTAAAGAAGGTCCAGTCCTTTCCTAAAACAGTTTGGCACCGTTTTAATCTAATGTTACTCAGACAGGTGGACACTAAGATATATTTGATGACTTTTAACCTGCACTTCGGTTTGTATACATTTAGCTTGGTAGTGAATGTCTTACCTCTCCCACGGCATTGGACAGGATGTGGACAATCTTTTCATGGGGCGTGGCCACCACGCTCTGGCTGTTGATCTCGATGATGCGGTGACCCACTCGGACTCCGCCCCGCTCAGCGATGCCCCCGCGCATAAGGCTACAGATCTGTCGATAGGGACGGATCAATTCTTTAATGACAAACCAAATTTCACCGAAGTACATTTCACAGAAGTGTGAGAATCGTTTTGCATTAAAAACAGCGCAGGATCATAATGCTACCCACAATGCCATTCTGGACGCTGAAGCCCAGCTGGTAGCGGAGGTCTGGCCTTCTGATGAGTACAGTGGTCACTGGGGGACATCTGACGATGTTTAGCTTGATCCCAGGCTGGTTTTTCAGACCCTACATAAAGGAAAGCATATGGTATCAGCTTCGTGTTGGGCGATGTTGGAATTCTCCTGCTGACGATATTGCTTTAAGAAAAGATACTGTATAAGCATCTTCATTCATGACGTCCGTTATTAAAAACAATACCGTACACATACCTTGATGATGCTCTGGCAGGTGGACAGTGGCAGTCCCACCAGACTGGTCCCATTAATGGACATGATCTGGTCTCCTATGGTCAGTCTGCCGGACCTCTCAGCCGGCCCAGCGTGCATCATGTTGGCGATGATGACAGTGGGCAGGATGGAGCCCCACCCACTCTCCACAATGACCACACCCAGAATCTCCCCCTTAGCTTTTTCTATGGACACCTGAGTTTGCAGCAGGCAGAAGCAACGCAAAGAAACGTTTTAAAGTCAGTAAAATCACATATATAACAAATTATCGTTGGAGGCACCGGGTACAAACGAGTTGAGTGACTGATTCACAGCCCTACTTACGTCTTTGCAGTTCTCCGACTTGGAGAAGTGGATGAGGTCATCATTGTACATGTCCTGAGTGTTGAGCAAGTCACTGTACTCCTTCTGGCTCAGGTCCTCGGGGTTAATGCCATTGGCCCGTAAGAATTCTTGGTAAGCCACACTGAAGGCCTGCCCGATGGATTGGGCAATCAACTGGGCCTAGAGGACAGGATGGGTGAACTTGTAATCATTATTTATATCATCTTATGGGTAACTCAAGCTCTTTCTAACTAACTGTGGTCGATTTAACAGCTGATTAAACTGTCAAAAATGACACTACAAACATTGCACGTTGTCCCTTTTGATGAGCAAAGGCACCATCTAACTTTGCTGTTGGACTCACATCCTCAGACTCAAACACGTGGCATATCATCTTGTACTGGCGCTTGCTCTCTTGACCTGGGTCTGAGGCCTCCACGTTCTCCTGAGAGTCGGGTCGAGGCATTCTGCGCCGGGCCATCAGGACCACGATGTTGCCAATGTCGGCAATGTAGGAGATGGTCCGCAAAGGGTGGTCCATCATGGTCTCCTGGAAGTAAGAGAGCCATAACAGTCTTTATATCATCCAAATGTGGGGTGAGTAACTAAGTAACTAACGAACTAAGCAACCAAGGTGGATAAAGTAACCACCTTAGACCACATAGGTCCATATAGGAAGTTACATTGTTCCCCTCAATATATCTTGACTGAGCACTCCAAAGTCTTCTTCCCTGTTTACTAGGTAGCAATCCATTCACACAGTTTTGTGAATCAATGTTTTTACACCACAGATACCCTCTTCTGCCCTGTTCACTGAAGTAAACGTAAGACTTCTCAAGACCTTTTTAAAACCACATAGAATACAATTTAAGACCCGTTTCATGGTCTAGAATTATTTACCAAGTGCAGTTCATAAACATTTTATTATTATTAGTTTTTGTGTCACTCCTTTCCAGCTGTATATAACAATAACAATAGCAACATAATATCATTTAACATGACCTGGATAAGCAGCAGATGAATGAATGTGTGGATAGCAAATTAAAAGGTAACCTATGTATTTAAGGTTCACATTTGAATTGTACCATCAGAGGTCATTCCAGACAGTTTTCGCTAAAATCACAAACAAAAACAATGTAGACCTTTAAAAATGAGGTGCAATACATTGTAAAACCTTCAAAGCTTTATTATGCAACGATTTCCTAAAAAGAAAACAATGTAAAGACTCTCAATCATCTCACGTCCCACTAGAAGTGTGTGGCGGTGTCTGTTTCTGCAGAGGCCCGTCCGTCTGTATTTCCTCTGGTCTTCTTATGTGTTCGGGACTCTTCTGGGTGTGGAGCACACATGCAGGTGTAACCCCAGCTAATAAGCAGCGCGTGCAGCCCGTTCTCACGCTGCTCGTCTGCTCGTATGTGTGGATAAAACAAAGAGCAGTTGATCTGCTTTATTTCAGGAGCAGAGTCTTTGCTCCCTAGAGCAGTGGTTCCCAAACCTTTTCTGTCAAGCCCCCCTTTGATGATACAGGAACATTGTAAGCCCCACACCCGACCCCACCCCACCGCACCCGACCCCACCCCAAATGGGTCATACCTTCTTTGTTTTGAATTAATTGCATTATAATATATAAACTCTATAAAATATTTATTTTTCTTTCTAAAATAAGTTCATCTCACTTCACTTTTCCACTTCAGTTTATTGTTCAGTTTGTTTTACTGAAAAAAATAGCAATAATAAAATCTATTTCCAAATCTTTCACACATGAATGCACACACTTGCATTACATTCTTGAATATATTTTAAAGTAAAATGAACTTCAAATGTTAAAATTGAAGTTAAGAACAGAGCAACAACTTACATTTCCCCATTTAACAGGTTTTTCAAACTGAATTAGTGTGACAGAAAATAAAGAATCCTACATATAGAATAATGATCAGAGACCAGATGTTACTCAGTGCTCTCTCTGCATAGATCACATTCCTATTCCTACATGTAAATTGCTTTCTGACATATTAATTTGTAAATAAAATGAACTTAATTTCTTTTAAGTGCAAACAACGTATATTTCCCCGCATTGAACAGCAGGTTCTCTCAAAGAAGAAAATAACACATCCAGCAATGATTGATGTGGATTTACTTTGTTCTGACTGCTTTCAATAAATGCTTTTGTGACATACAACTTGTGCCATAATTTAGTTTACCCAACTCTTAGGTTCTTTAAAACTGAATTATAAACAAGATGTGCTAGCTACTCAAGTTTTTTCTGCATGGATCATATTCTTTTTTTTATCATACTCGTATTCATAGGTACATTCCTGTTCCTACATATCAATCAGTGACTGGTGTGGGCTTGCTTTGTTTTACAAATGTTGTCAAAGCGGGGTTGCTGGTTAGAGAAAGCCTCTCTCAGTTCATCTTCAAAGTTCAGCTTTGATCTGTATTTGGTCTTTATTTAGTGGGCTTCATACTGCCGCCAGTATGTTCAGACACACAACACACTGGGTCTCTCTTCTTGGCCGACCATAGTGCTCGTAAAGCCCAGGGACAGATACGCCTCCTTATATTTTCTTGCTTTTACCTTTTTTTATGGTCTCTCTCTCTCTCTCTCTCTCTCTCTCTCTCTCTCTCTCTCTCTCTGAGTGGAAGGAGCACGGAGCTGAAGGAGCGTGGTTTTGAGAGCGATAATAGCGATTTTTCGATTTTTTTCTTCACTGGGTATTAGTGTATATGGTAGTGTAGTGTGGTGTGTAGGGTTCACAGGTTTTTTTGTACGTTTGGCTGGGTGTAGAGTCTTTGTTTGTGCTTGTGTGCAGTCGATCAGCACGCTGGTCGGCGGCATGCTAAGCGCTAGCATGGACCTGCACAGGCTAACCAGGAAACACGGCGTGAAGATCGCGCCGTGTTTCGCGTGTTCAGTGGAGGACTGTAGCTTGGCAGTGGGGAAGGTGGTTGGCCAAAGCAGCGTGAAGTCCGCTGCAAGGATGAATAATGCTGTGGTCATCTTTTTAGAGAGCATACATAAGGCCAACACGGTGGTGGAGAGCGGGATCGTGGTGTTTGACACCCTTGTTCCCGTTCTTCCTCTCAGCACACCGGCAGTAAAGGTAACTGTGTCAAACGTCCCACCGTTCATTAAGGACGAGACAATAACCAGAGAGCTGTCTAGGCATGGGAAAATAGTTTCTCAGCTTAAAAAACTGTCCTCTGGGTGCAAGTCTCCACTCTTAAAACACGTGGTGTCTCATAGGAGACAGTTATTCATGGTCCTCAACAACAGGAATGAAGAGCTAAACCTAGTGTTCAAACTGAGAGTGGAAGAGTTTGACTATGTGATTTTTGCAACATCAGATAATATGAAATGCTTTAGTTGTGGTAGGGAGGGACACCAGAGCAAAGCATGTCCTCAAAGAAACTCTGCTGAACAGGATGGTGCCAAGACAAACCCAAGCCAGAAAGACACTGAGGAGGACAGAGGGGACAAGCAGGGCGGCCAGGAACAACAGGAGAAGGCAGGGGGAGTGCAGCAGGAGAGTGAAGAGGGGACAGGGGACGTCCAGCAGGAGAGTGAGGAGGGGACAGGGGA